GAGCGTACAGCTCGAGGAGAACTGCCTGTGCCGCTTCCACTGGTGCTGCGTGGTGCAGTGCCACCGCTGCCGCGTGCGCAAGGAGCTCAGCCTGTGCCTCTGACCTGCCGCCTGCCTCAGAACTGCACGCCTCCGCCTCTTGGCAATCTGCAGGACCACTGAATTCCAGCAGGGGGCACCGTCTGGGCCCAGATGCTCCCTAGGAAAAATACATATCTAGGTCTTGGGAAACAATGGGGGCTGGGAGCTTGAGGTTTACACTTGCCCACGAAGGCCTGAGGACCCTGTTCCTCCAGCATCCCCCAGAAGGGCTGTCTGCTAGTTTCTGCGGGAGACTATGCAGGCTCTCCCTCCCTTTGGCCTCCCAGATGGAAATAAAACAAACAAACAAACAAAAAACAAGAAGCCAGACTCTGGTACTCCTCAGAATTACTGGGGTAGACAGGTGAGTTTAGTATTAATAAAGACATTTAAAGCAATAGGACAGGACCCATGGTTTGAGGGGAGGTAGTCCTAGAAGGCCAGGATATAGAAGGGAGGTGATTCTGATAGAACTAGCATTTTGGCCTGAATCTGTAACCCCACCCATCACCAAGGCAGGGGAGGGTGAGGGAGGGCCCCTGGAAACGGATTATCTCTCCTTTGGCACCCTTTTGTTCATTTTTATACACAGCAGGCATCTGAATCCTGAGAACAAGTGATTCCATTTTAAAGGGACATAAAGGGCCCAGAAACTTATAGTGGTGTGCTTAGTTGTCAGAGATTTGTGTTAATTTTTAGGGCATCATGTCTGTTTCTGTGACTCCTGATGAAATCAAGGGTAGACTTTTAGGATCATGAGTTTAAAGCTCTTTATAAACGGTAAAAAACAAACTACTTTCGAGGAACACCTGCTTTTGTTATCATCAAAACTAGCCATCCCATCAGCTCTAAAAAGACTGTTCTGGCTGGGAGATCACTCAGTCAGGTAAAGTACTTGCTTTACAAGCACAAGGGCTGACCCTGAGTTCCATCACATTAAAAAGCCCAATGTGACCTGGCAATGGTGGTGCATGACTTTAGTCTTAGCACTCCAGAGCAGAGGCAGGGGGATCTCTGAGTTCCAGGCTAGCCTGGTCTACAGAGTGAGTTCCAGGACAGCCAGATCTGTTATACAGAGAAACCCTGTCTCAAAGAAACCAAACCAAACCAAAACAGAAGCTCATCATGGTGGTGCACTTTTAATCTCAGCACTGGGAAGAGAGAGAGAGGAAGATCACTGGGGCCAGCCTGTCCTACTTGGTGATTTACCAAGTGAAAGACTGTCTCACAAAGGGAGGTGGCTTCCAGATGACTCAATAGATAAAGGTGCATGCTCCCCTAATGACCTAAATTTTATTCCCAGAACAACACAATAGAGAGAGAAAACAATCCCCCCTCTCTATTTTATCTATATCTATATCTATCTATCTATCTATCTATCTATCTATCTATCTATCTATCCATGTAATAATAATTTCAAAAGACAATACCCAAGTTTGTCTTCTGGTGCGCACGCACACACACACACAAACACACACACCATTCAGACTGTCTTCCCAGCATAGTGTTTCTAGTCACACTCAGAGGAAACAAGTTTGTCCCAGGATCTTGTTTGACACCAGCCACATGATCTTTTTTTTTTTTTTTTTTTTTTTTTTAAAC